AGACTGTGCATAGTTCAAAACCGTTGTCCCTACATTGGAGAACATGATTACAGAAAGGGAGCTGGCAGGTGACACAAGACCGAGCTTTGAGCAATCCATGCTGAGCAACGCTTCATAGGTCACTCTCTGATAAGTGACACATTATCTTAACTTTGATCAATGTCTCTTAGATTCTCGAAACTGCGAGGAGGCTTTTTGTTGGTCAGAAGTAGTGAAATGATGTAGAGTGACCGTGGTTGAGGATGGGCAAAATGTGTAATTCCTTCCAAAAAGGGGGATATGATTCACTTTCAAGAGCGAGATTAGATAGCTTGCACAAAAGGGAAGGGAAGATTTTATTCGCATCAGCTTTTACTATGCTAAATGGGGCACCATCAGGCCCTGACTTATCAGATTGAAGAAGACGTCGAATCACCACAGTCACGTCCCATGGAATGAAAACTATGATTTTGCGAACGGCCCCGGTCCAAGCCTGGACGGTCGTAAGCACAGCCGTCGAGTTTGTAATAAAATTTTTGGACAGGAAAGCACTTAAAATGCCGGCGGTCAACTGGGTGTCTGTCATAAGATCTCTAATAGCATCTCTGAGGATATAGAATTGCGTTTCCACACGAGCTTTTCCTTTTGAAAGAAACGTTTTGCGATATTTAACGAGCGGTTTTCGGCGACGTGTAATTCTTCAGCTAGCCGCTTATCTTCGGACAATGTCTTTGCTTGCTCAAAAATATCAAAAATCGAGGGCAGAATGGGAACATAATTCTGAAGATGGAATCGACGAGAAAGTCTGCGCAACCTACGGCGAGAGGGTTGGGGAGGATAATCTTATTCCCGACATCAATTATTTTCTTACGGGGGACAAAACGACAAATAAGCAGATCCAAAATTTCGTGCAGTTTAGCAGTGCAAACATTTGCATCCTAACTTGAGAAAAAATCTCTCTAATCGTAAAAATTAAGGAGTATTCATAATTCGGCCGAGCGAGTTGTTTGGAAATCGAAGAACTAAAGTTTGAGGTTAAAATTTTGTCAGCCTCGAGTTATATCGGAGAAGCAACTATGTCATCGTCAGAGCCTTCGAGTGGGCCTAGGGATGACAATGAAAAAGAAATGCAATCTCTACAGAAAATTAGGCCAATATGCTTGGTCCTTGGGTGGGAAAATCGCCAATCCGACTCCACGTCCCAGCTAACGCACACGTCATCGTGGAACCAGCCGCTCAAAGGGACAGCAGAATCAAGTCGCTAACGCCAAACGCTCTGGTCGAGGGCACCAAAGCCGATGATACCCACCAAGCAGCGGAATATGCCAGCGGAAATAATTCCAGCGACAACGCAGTAAAGCCCACAACAGAAACAAACGCAACCGGAAATTCTGCCAGCTCAGAATTGGAGTGTCGTGTGCAAATGTCCAAATGTGTCAACGAAAGTTAACGAATTAAAACGTTGCGTCACCGAACTCTCTCCGAATGCTTTAACAATAATCGAAATCCGGCTGTCCGGGATATTAGTGATAATGGAATAGAATTAGCTGGATACCAAATATATTGGAAGCACGGGGGCACCGCCAGGGTGATGGCCTAATTCTGCAGGTGAACGGAGTTCTCATAGTGTAAGAAACTGCGACCAAGTTTGCGTACAACAAGGAAGCTATTTGGTTGACCATCAAGGTCACCGATTCGCCGTGTATTGATATACTCACTATCAATAGACTATCTGGGAAATACCAAATAGCCGAAATAAATAAATGGGGGCAGTTGCAGAAATTCTTCGGTCTACTTAATGCCACGATTATGCGCGACTTCAACTAGGCAGGAACTAATCGGAGCACTGTACGAAGGTCATGTCTAAAATCACCCTTCGACTACCATTTATTGCATCAAACGTTGAAGGCGCTCCTCATACTGCACGTAATGTTTCCGAGGCAACAAGTGAGAGACGAAAAGAAGACCTTACATTTGAAAACGTGACTCCAATTAAATGAAGGCAGGTTTGTCCGGTCTCGTTTACTGTCAGGCAGGACTGGGAGTTGTTCAACAATGATCTCCTGCAGCTCGCCAAAAACCACGGTCCAATGACCAGTGTATGTTGGGAGTGCCTATACTCTCAAAAACAAGAACGGGCCAATTCCTTGAGGTCACGTGCGTCTTCTCTAGCAGACTGTCAAAATGATGTTGGCGCCTCAACATTGGCTACTCCACTCGAACCTGACTGGTCCGTGTATGCAGAAAACCGATCAGTTCGTTTAGAATTTTCTTTTCGAAGTGCCATGGGTCGAATGCAGGCAGATTCCAGCAGGATGTTGTAAATGCGCGTTAGTTTTCTATTTTGGCGACCCGCAGATTCTTAATGCACTTTTTCGTGGCCGTTCGTGTTCTACTTCTCTGCCGCGTTTGGTGTTGGGAGCAGGAGTCGAGTGCTCACTCTCTCTGCGTGATTTTTTAGTACTAGGGCGGGTCATAAAAGTGTAAGCCAGAGCACGCGGCCTGGATGGCTAAACAGTAACCTAAAGAACAAATTAACAGGTAGCATAAATTATGGAGAGAATACTGCTTCTTCAGGCAAACCTGATAATACAGCAATTACAAAATGCCGGGAAACGAACTGTGAAGCAGGAATATTAAAAAGCATTGGGAATTCGTGAGGTGTTTACTGTAAAAAGCAACGCTGAATCCCATTTTGCTCGGCAGCTACCTCAGAAGATGTACACGCGACAAACATGAAACGCCCAAAAAAGACTAGGGGTGGCGTTGAAAGTGCTGGAAGGAACGATAAGGTTGCGTGTTTTTTACAAGATTTCCAGTCGTTATACGCATACGAGAGAATGTTACTTTCACCTTCCGGAGAAGATCAGCGGACTCCAAGCATAGGCAGCATTTTCTTTGCAGAAGATCTTACCCAAAGATAATTAGTGACGTTTAACGAACCGAAGTCTGCAGGACCAAGCGGGATTCTACACAAGCTGATCAAAGAACTTGCCGGTAAGCTTACAATACCGCTGTCAGAGATCTCTCATACGTCGTTTGACGCTGGAATCCTTCATTTTTACTGGAAGCTGGAACACATAACTCCCTTGTGCAAACGTAGTAGCTGGGCGTTAAGGACAGATAACAGGCCCACAAGCTTGATATACATTGTAAGCAAATATATGGAGAGGATCATGAAGTGTGAATTTATGCAATTTCTGGAAGTCCGAGACTTACGAATACAGGCTCCGAAAAGGAAGATCCTGTAAGACAAATTTAATGCAATCTGTACAGAGCTAGACCCGTGCACGTGATCCGTATAGTCTCATTGACTTCTATAAGACTTCGATATTATGCCACGACAGAGACTGTTATGCAAGCTGAAAAGAATGTGGATCAGAGGTAACTTCCTGAGATGGATCGAAAACCTACGTGTGCGTCATCACCAGGTTGTGCGCAATGATTAAGGGAAATCCGAGCCTGCTGTGGTCGACAGTAGTGTTCCCCGGGATTCAATACCGGGATACATTTTGTTCCTAATATACGTATAGGAGTGCCCAAGAGCCCTCGTCTGCGAAGCAGCAATGCTCACTGACGATCTGAGAATATGGAGGGTAATCCGGGGTCCTGCCAACGGAGATAGGCTGCAAATGAACCTAAATCGGTTGGAAATGTGGTCAAATCGTTGGCTCATGCGGTCTAAAGTCGGCAAGTGTACCACACTGCGCACAGGCAACCTAGCCAGATCCGTCAGCACAATAAATTACTTTCTCGACGGAGCAGCTGTGCGAGACGCGGAAGCCCAGACGTATCTGAGCGTGCTGACAACGAATTTTTTAAACTGTCCGCGCATTGCTCCAGGGGGACAAAATGCGCAATATTTGTATTGCACTTTCTCAAGCGAGTACTCATGGATTTTTAGATGGTTCTCTTTTGCAATGCCTTCAAAACATTTGTTAGGCCGAATTAAGAACGCGAGCCCGGAGGCGATGGGCGTTTTGAGGTCAACATATTCTCGAAAGAATCCAGAGGAGAGTCACGAAAGCGGCTGGAGGTCAAACCTCCTTTGCCTATGCAGCCCGCCCAACAAATCTAAAGCTCCTTTTGTCGAGTTATAGGCAACTGAGCGAGTACCTCTGACAAGCATTCCGCATTGCGAAGGAATCGATTGCAGTCTGACCTTTGAGGCTATTTGAATTTGTTACTACGACCAATTTCCTAGTTCACGTATTAAAACTGCGCATTCAGCAGACGAAACATAGTGCGCAGAGATTCTCTCTCTCCGAGTGGTCAAACCCTGAACTGCCTTCCTCATAGATGCCGGAATGTCATCATCGGTGAAAAGCATACAAGGGGTGCCTTGGCTGATCTATATTCCGAAAAAGGCAAGAGCGAATGGAGATCAAGCTCAATCCTTGAAACTCACGTCCACTCTGTCACACTAGTACGGACCCACCTGAAATATTTCAGCTCACATGGATTTTTTAGACTGTACCTCATTCGGCGTTGTAAATAGAGTGCTTGGCCCGCATGCCTATTTGCTTCAATAAACTGAATTGACTTGATCTGTTGAGAAAACTCTGCTGGTTAGGGAACTGTCATGGAATTCCCGCATAGATTAGTGCGACCCTTTGACTGATGAAGAACTATGAGAAAGCTCTCTAGCTTAGACTGCCCGGTGACGACCTGACTGATTTTTGCATCCCCTGTATCTTTAACAGGCGATGAGATGCAAAATGCATTGATCGGCTCTTACCCCCTTCGTCATATAGTATGTTAAGCATTTAACCATAAGCGTGAGTGCAATGCACAACAGATCCTTGAAAAATCTTTTATTGTTAATCCGGAATCTGCGAACTTTGTACTAATTTCGTATGTCCCGAATTTTCTCGCTCTGTTGTTATTGAGTCTGTCTGAACTGATCACCGCTGAGTCCTTCGAACACCACTTGGCGGTTATACTAACACCGCCCGACCCCTGGTCCTGATTCTCGTGGTCCGGTTGTTTTTTAGTTATCTCGGTTTGTCTGTGCAACCAAGATGTGGGCGGCCTACAAAACTATTGGGAACCTAGTAATTGACATTTTTTGTAATCGACAGGATGAAAAAATTATCCAACTGGAAAATCTTCTGGAGCAGTACAAGGATGCCTTTCTGAATCCCTCCAGGAACCCGGTATGTGCATGAGAAACTTGGCTTCAATAAATCGAATACCCAAATACCGGTTATCTCTGTCGAGCGCGCCATCTCAACCTTGCATTGATTAATTGAGCTATTCTCTTTAGCGAGACGACGTTTCTTGACTTTCACAGTCGAATATTCCAATTTACCGCCTGTACTTGTGTGCAGGGGTTCGAATGGAAAACAGCTTGACAAGTAGATATTTCGAAGGTTGCTTACCGTCTCGGAAAGATTTAACCTTTAGTTATTTGATAATTTGACCGTCGTTAGCGACAATGTCCTCAATGTGCCGCACAGCGGGGTGAGCGCAGGGACGGTCACTTGCGCGTGACTTAGTGGATAGACTTGAGCTGCATCTGCTGCAGTCCTGGAAGGATAGCATTAACCCTCGTGTGCGCGTTTTGAGGCTGCTGCTACTGTTGGTCGCCATGTGTGCGTGTTCGCGTGTTGGCACGTATGCGCGTATTACTGCGCTGCTATTGACTAAGTGAAAGATAGGAGTCTATATAACTCTCGCTTACCCATATCAGTTGTAGAATTCATACGATGTGTGGGATGTCCTAGTAGCTTTTACATGAGAGCCGAATCTTAAGCTTTTTAGACCGGACTCTCACCGCTTCCTCCCCATGATCACTAGTCCGAATATTCTTGGGAGTTTATGCGGCCGTACCCTAACCCCAACTATGTCTGCCGCTCAGTTCGTAGGATTTAATTAACGGCTGCCTATCTTCTTACCTTCCGCCAATATGACATTTTGAGAATACCTGAGGATTGTGTTCAGCGTCTAATTCATTTTCTTCAGTAATTCCCCTCGTAAGCGTTAGCCAAGTGGTCGGAAATCCACGTGCATAAGGCAACATCGGGCGGTTGAGCAGGCCTTGAATCAACCAACTTCCAAATTCAGGTATAAATGGTCACTTAAATCTGCCTGAATTGCAGAACTTTGCTAGTAAGCGAAGTCGACGGCTATCCTTTTTACGTACTGCTCGCCACGCGTATATACGCACCCCACTCGTGGCGTCTTACTGTTGATTCTCATCGGTTAGAAACTCGCTTCATGACTACTCGTTTTTATGTACTCAAAAAAATATGGAATAGGTCATAAGGCGATCGCAGGAATAGGCTAATCTTATTTTATGCTCTGAGATAGGAATCCAAGAGAGTGAGCTTCAGTGACTTGTATGGGTCCGGCGTATTTGTACTTGCGTTTGTCACCCAGCAATCTTGTTCGTCCTTACCTCGGCGCACATTAGTCAACATCAGGAGCTGTGACCAAAACAATGTTCTTGTCTGTTAATATCACCAGTGCAGCCTAGATTGGCCTTGGTCTCTTCGGGCGACAAAAGCGTGCTAGAGTGATATTGCGGATGGATTTGTATCATGCTACCATACACTCAGTGCCATTTTAAGGGTCGAACAGTTTCCTCCTTAGCGCAGAAGACTAGTTTTTTTTTACCTCTGCGGTAAGTGGATTGGATGCGGCGTCCTAATAGGACCAGCAGTTGAGACACCGGTGCGTATTTAACAAATCGCGTATTCACCGAACGACTGACCGGCTAACCATGATAATCCTTGCTTGGTTTGCTTGTGCTTCTAGTGACCGTTATGTTTGACTGGCCATCCGTGCAGAGTAATCCTGCGTGGTAAGGCAGGGTTCTGATACACGGTGCAAACACGAACAATTAATTCCTTACTCCAACAGAGCTAATACATAGAGTGCGGCGATGCCATCAGCCCTTTTTAGGAAATATGGGGCACTTAAACACTTTAGGTTGAACAAGCATGACGAATTGAGGTTTATGTTCATGGATGAGGCGCCACAGTCTTTCATTTTCCTTTGAAAAGGCAGCCGAGACCAAATGCAGTAACTACAGTAACGTACGTGTTCTGGATGATGCAGCAAAGTCTTCAACGGTCGCCGTTCTCAGGCAGTTTCAGTAAGCTTGGTTTGATAACACGACTCAACCGAGCTGGTTTTTGATCCATCCCCTAGCCACGCGCACCTCGATACGTCGTTGACTTTCGTCGTGACAAGGAGAAACCGGTTGCCTCGTGCTTCGATAGAGCGTCCAATTCCGTCCATCTTGAATGCCCATAACATTGCTTGAGTCTGACGGTGCGCTGGCAAGAATCCTCGATAGAATCAAGACTTTCGGACTCCTCATCATTGTGCTGGCCGTTGTACGCCAAACCCCTTTCGATCATTAAATATTTGTTCTGACTTTCCTCCGAGCTGCATCCTGTCGTCTATCTTATTTAACTACTCCGTGGACCGGATTGTCTGAACAACTTTACACGATTTTGATGACGTCGAATTAACGGGAGAACGCCGACTGACTGACCTAGACTATTCTAACACGCTTCGTTAATCGTGATCTACAGAAAAAATGTTTCAGGTGAAGAAGTTTGCTTGATCACTTTGTCTTTAAGGACAGTGTGAAGGCCAAACTGTGGGCTGGATTTTCGATCCGAAGAAGACACTCCTTGAAATTAATAGCTTTCGGTTGGAGGAAGTAGACAGTTTCAAATATCTGTGGGCGACATTACCGTCATACGGACAATGAAGATGATATCACCGCCGCAAGTACTGTTGTTCGAATGGTTTACATAAGCCATAAAACGTGTCTACGTGCTCGTTTAGGCGATTGCAATCATCTCTAAGATATGGGTGCACCGGACATCCGTACGTTCAGTCCTGTACGCCTGCGAATTTCGGACTGTACGCTTGAAGACCGAGTGACAATCGGAAGTACCTGGCCGCTGTTGTTCGAGAAGCATTTTATCAAGTGTGCCGATTTTTTCTCTAACGAGACAATTTGTATTGGCCGCTGCACCACTAGGCTATGACCGTCCGTATAAGACGACCGAGGCTGTTTTGGCACCCATCTGTCGTTCTTTTCATAAGTTCAGTGCCACCGTCATTCTTTGGAAGTTTCTGACTAAATTGGGCAATAAAGACGCTTCAAACCCTAGTTTGACAAATTCAAGACCTGGAGGCAGTCCACTGACCTTCGGTATTCACTCCTTATCGCCAGATAAGTGGGCAGTTTGGGTTTACTTGACCCGTTTCTGTAGTCCGTCATGAGGCTGACCAGGTCAAGCATGAAAAAACGCGGTGCCTAGTAAGAGTAATTACGTACAACTGCGGTCGAACGTGGCTGTTCGCCGCCTACGTTTCTAGAATTCCATTATTGCTTTATCCATCTACCGAGCCACCCGAGTCCCGGCTCTACTTGACAGTCCTACTAACGAGACCGTCCCTTGTTCGAGCGTATTTGAATATTTCAGCCCCTCGTCACCAATTAAAGTAGTAACTGCGCTAACCTCTTGATTCTGACTATCACAATAATCTCTCGACCATGCACCTTATATTTGCTGTTGATTGCCGTATGCTTGTTCCCGCTTTTAGTGATCCGAGCAAATTCGCCCTTCTTGGCCTGGCACGGTTTTCGTCTAAACCCTTTCTCTAACCTAGTTGTTGTATCTCACTCAGCTGTATTTGAGGCTGTTGTAACTAGGACCGTAGGAAACACACGAGAAGGAGAGCACAGACAAGTCGAAATACAAGAATCAGAATCAGCATACCCTATAATTGGGCTTTATTCATCTTACAATTGACGTACTATAACTAAAACGAGAACTAAAACAGTGGTAGATAAGATGAGATTTCGTCAGGGTATAAGTTAGCATGACAGGCAAAAGCCGAAACAGTGTTGGCCTTCCTGTTCTTTTAAGAATTAGTAGACTGTTTCACCACTTTCCACATGATATTAAGAGTTGCAGCGTAAGCTACAGCTATTTCGTATCCGTCTGTATTCCATTTCGTTGTCACCGCTTATTTTCCAGCACTATTTGGGCACCGTCGAGTGCTCACTTATATTTTATTTCAGTCTACTATAAAGACGACAAAAATTCACGCCCAAATAATTCTCTTCGTAACATTTCATCCAGCCCAAATCTGTGGTCGATCGCCAGCTGATAAAAAAGGCAGATTCGGAGGCAATCTCACTTCCTGGAATGCCCCAAAAAATTTTACTTACGCGCGATATCATCGAAGAATCTTGTACTATCAGTGATCTCTTTGAATTCAACGAATTAGGAGCTGTGGAACTGCTTCTGTCAGGTTTGTTTGTTCTCCTACTTAAAACTTTCGGCTATAGCTGAAAGCCAACTACCCTCCTATCCGAATCTTACTCGCGGATTGGTGGCGATTATCTTGTACTACGATGCCCAGCGCGCAATAGCGGAGTCCCTACGGACAATCCTCCAGTCTCGCAACGGCCGCATATGGTCTATTCGCTTGTCCAAGGAAGCCGCCACACTGGTTGAGTCTTTTACAAGTGATCTACTCGCATCTGGCTTAATAAGCAATATTCTGAGTGAGTTGCGTTAATCCTTTCCCTTGGCAATATGCTCCCTATCTCGCCGTAAGCAACCTTTTGTACATCCGTAACTCGCGTCATTTGAGCACTATTGTTGCTTACTCGTTAATGTGCCACTTTTATCAATTGATTGCCGTTGTCGGAGCAGTTACCTCAGGATTACTGTTTATGGCTTATTTGCCGTTATTAGCTAGCCATGTCTGGACCCCAGGCGAGGTGGCCCAGGGGTCACTCAACCCTTTGTTTGTGGGGCAATAAATCAAACCAGCGTGTTACACTGGATTAAACTCACGTTCCAAGTATTTTCACCTAAGCTCCGGCGTCTATGTGAGGCCCTGTTTGGATTACGGAATGCCGACTAGTCTCCTCGAACAGATGCAACGAAGATTTAAGGATTTACCCTACCAGGATTGATTGAAAGAGTTTGTTTTGTTCCCCCTATCTTACGGACAGTGGAGGTTTAGACTGCTCAGAACATTCCGGATTGTCGGTGGCCATGATTGCTCCCTGAGACCGGAGGATTTCTTCGAGTATGCACCTACGCTAACTAATACGACTAGACTTCAGAAAATTTTTCAGCCGACGAGTAGTCGAGCCATTGAATTCGCTACAAAGCGAAATAATGAGGGCCGACACCTTTCCTGGCTTTAGAAGAAAACTTGATTGGAAAATCTTTTACAGAAATCGTCTTTCACAACATGATTGCTTACAACCAGCCTTGCAGATTGTTTCGTGCTCTACCCTCCCTCCGCACTGATTCGCAGTGAACAGCAACAATTGCCTTTAGTTGTATATTGGCCTGTACACAACTAAATGTTCGCAAAGGTTACTGTGCATTAATAGGGTCATCAAAAGCTCGTCCTATTAACCTTTAGATATAGATATGGATAGACTCACTGCCACTGAATCGCGGCCTCTTCGCTCTGTTGGCTACAATCAGGAATTCTAGGTCGAAAACGGTCTTCCTAGTCTCTCGCTTTTTCAGTAACAGTTGTCCGCTTTTTACTCGTAGTTATGTGACTATCTATGGAGAAGCTGTTCCGGAGTCCGTGACTCGGTGATAAAATGTTGGACTGAACACCCGAAAGATTCTGGGCCCGCGTCCGAGGTTATCAAAATCTGGGGCGGGGTGTGGCTGGCTGACGACTGTTAGCAGATCGGAAATCGCCATTGCGATCATCTTGGTTTTTACCGGTAGTTTCTCTTTCATCCTTACTGATCGTTCTGCGACTATCTGCTAGGGCTCTAGATTGAGTCCCGTAGCACAACGGGATAAACTTATCATGTAACATGATCTGCGAACCAGCCTCCTACGGTAATATACAGTGGCCACCTCACGAAATGTTAACCGAAGTTCTGAAATATGCTTTCGACTTGAAAGGATTAAGTTTGTGGAGTTGTAACAGTGAAGATCGTACACCATGATCAGAAGATATTTCAGTCTCGTCATGATGTATGCCCTCGAGCTTCGGCCCGGCCGCCTGCAAAAAGCTCACTCGGAATAATATGACGACTGTACTGTGGATTCTCCCTATCGATTTTCGATTCCCTTAATAAATTCCAATATATTTTACGGAAAACGCACTCAAAAATGTTCTTTACTATACTCACTTGGTAACAAATTACGTCTTCAATTTCTATTCCCGGAGAAGGGGTATCCCCGGGTTTTTAAAACTTCATCAGTTCCCTAATAATTTTAAACCCGATCTGCCTTTGCACTTACGCTTCGGGTTTCCAAACTGTATGCTTTGTGCTTTACATGTAAGAAAAATCACACATTTCTACCCTGTCAATAGGACTTCATTATAGGGCCCATACATTTTTGCAGTGGTTCAGGCACCATTAAGGAACTGAAAGATACGGTGCTCTATGAATGACCTTAGTAAATTCCGAACTCATTCAAAATCGGTAGATGCCCTTGAGTAAAGAATTAGGAGAAGCTGTAGACTTCTACCCAATGAGTGTAAGAAGGAATATTTTTGTTCTTGTTTTCTATAAAACACATTCGAATTTATAAAGGCATCGAAAATCTATGGGGAGAATTCATACTGCTTGCGTGGTCATTTTTACTGGGCGTGGTTTTTGCAGGCCACCGGAAAGAAGTAAATTCAAACATCGGCATCCTGGCGTGACTGTAATATCTTGGTGTTATGCCGCGCGATAATCATTACAATCTCAATTAGTAGAATTTCAGTTAACATTTCATAAGATAGGCCAGCTACTGTACATATGCATGTACGTATGTATGCATGCGTGTATACATGTATGTCCTTGAACCGTCCCCGAGACGGACCGCACTGCAAATGTGCTGGGCCAAAACAGGTCAGGCTGGCTCACGGCAGTGCTCAGCCTATAACCACTGGCGAGCGTGTGTGTTGCACACCTTAGGCGTAGGTCTTCACGCCTCGTCAACCACTGGGCCCATTCCCATGACCAACTGGTTGACGGACTTGGGCAGTCGAATGGTGCATGGGGGAGCCAAGAAGGAGTGGGATAAACACTGGGAAATCCATCCTTAGTGCACATCAGCTGTTTCCCCACTGATAAATTAGACGCGCTTGGGTCCATCAGGGAGCGCAAAGTCTTGGCTTGGAAAGTTACCAACCGGCGGACTAGTGTGGTCCCTCCCCGAACTGAGAATCTGACTGCGATGCATTCGGTTCGCAAGCTTTTCCGTACTTTTACTGTGTCACTCAGTGGTCTCACTTATTTTCGGTCGTTATTGCCGATGTCTATCAATCCCGGCTGCTTTGACTAGGTTTCGTTAGTTTTTCCTTATTTCCTTGCCTTTCCATCCCTATCGTGGACAACTGAACCTTCACTGGTAGTTCGACGCCAGACTTTTCGCTGCGCTATCTAACGGCTGAGTATTAAACTAGACTTCAGTTTTGCTCCATATATACGCCTTTAACCATCGTTGTCATCTCCATTTCAGAATTTCTTTCCTCCTTTGACGTCAACACGGAACTCTCCCGTTTACAGGGTGCCAATGCCATTGGTAACCCAAAGCACCAGAGGGACATACTTCGCTTTCTCTTCGGCATAAGAAACTGTTTGGCGGAGTGTATTCTACTCATAGCCGCCCAGACCCCTCTGGATTTTGTGTCTACTAAATTGGTATTGAGTCACCTGACGTCTGTTTTGACCAAACGATACGCCAACAATGCAGAAAATCATCAAATGACTCAAGTGTCTCGGCTCCAATCCTCACCTTACCTCGACCATGCGGACGTGCACTTGGTTTTCGCTCTTCTTTATTGCTTTGAACCTTTTGGATATCCAGGCGTGGAGGTCGACCAGCTTTCGGACGCTACCGAACAAGGTTGGTTTTTGGACACAAACCTTTCTCTTGCCTCCAGTTTTTGTTCAATTTGTCATGGGCATGTACGCGCCTGTCGATGATTATTTTTACGGATGGAGACTACGCATTCATACAGATTTGGCTGGACACAACGGTTGGTTGACATTGCCACTTGACGCCTTTTTGGAAAACATTGTTTTTTCCTTTAACAATATAGCATTTCTTCGTGGTAACCATCTAAAGTTTTGAGTAGAGCCTAATTCTTCTTTTGCCCCTTTTTTGCGGACCTGACGTCTACCTCGCTGCAAAAGTCAGTTTTCTAGTGGACGCTGTATGTGACACCAGTGAGCAAAGTGTCGGAGTCGTTAGGCAGACTTGAATATTTCCTTAACATTGAACTGGATCAGGAAGGCCAGAACCAAAAGGAGTATTAACATTTATCTTTTGACTACCATACTGCACAAACTCTTTATGACCCATTGCGGATTTTAAGAAGCCATTACTGTGCCACCGCGTTGTATACTACGTATTTCTGAATAAGTAGCAGGCCCTGCCATGCATTTCCTGGAAGGGAATTGCTCTATACTATTTGCTACGTCTGCCCCTTTAAACGGAGTACCCAGTGTTCACTGGCCGCTCACATTGGTGACAGAGCGCCGGAATTAATGATGACCTAATTGGTGATTGCATTTCTACTGATTATCCTGCTCGTTTCGGCGCTGTCCCTTTTGATATTCGGACCGTAGTGTTGGAGGAGTAGTGTTTTTAAGGCCTAAATGGTACGTGGTAATGTTGATGGGGTCGAGGATGACGACGATGATGATGTGGCTGCTGTATATTCTTTCCACCCACGAGCTAATTGGGTAAGATAGAAGCCTACCACCACATCCCTGCCCTCGTTTTTTGTTTTCGCGCTCATACTGCGTTATATGTCTCTTTTTACTTCCCTGCCTTCCCGCATAGATCTGAAGCACCCCCTGTTTGCGGACCCCCGTTACGTAGCAATGACAACGAAACTGCTCACTGCGTCCGATAGTTCATCTGGTAGTCTTCAAGCGACTGAAGGTATTTTCGGTCTGCTTCAACTTTCCTGGGCTGTGTGTTTGCGTCGTGCGAGCCATTTGCGGATGGAATTGCGACGTCATCGTCAATCGGACGAACCTCCAGCTACACTTGCATCTCAGAACCATTTTGTATCTGACAGCGAAATGGTGGATGACGACGTTCTCCTGAGCAACGCACTTGAGTCTGGCGCGATTGAATTTCTCTCATCGAAGGTGGTCCGTAATCCCGACTTCCATCGAGAGGTAGGATCCCCTTTTCACCCGAGTGGTCATGTCATTTCAATTTTATTTCTAGATTACGTTTCCAGTCTCTTCCTCCTTTTAGCAACCAGCCATGTATCGAGACTTCTTCGCATGTTTTTTAGAATTTGTGGATCCGCCGTGCCCACGGCCTGATTACAGATACTCTTGTCCATTTTCCCCAAAACGTTCGTGGAATTCGCCTGAGAGATGAAGCGATAGCTCGGCGCACTGGGCGCGATCCTTCAGCAATGGGGACCGGCTTCGCAGCGCTACTCAATCTCTTGTCCCAGATCTACGATGTGCTTGGTTCACCGTTGCACGCCCGCCTTAGTCTGGAGTACTGGTGGTCAGCTGGCGAGACAGCTAACAGACCCGTCTCCCCGGGTTCCTCTTTCCTCCTTGCCCATGAGAACCTGCTGCGCGTGAAAACCCTCCGAACTGATGATGGTGAAAGTTCAAGACAGGTAGGTAATACTTACCTTTAACCCTGATTGCATCTCCATTCTCAAGCCGTGTCCATGATTTGGGGTTGTTGCAGTACTGTCATTAATCTCAGACCTACATGTTTCATCTCTTATTTGCATCTTTGCAGGCCATGCTCTTCCGTTTTGTTTATTCGGCCAGTGAATTCGCTTCGTCGCCCTCCATATTCGTGCCATACGTGAAGATGCTCCGTGCTCTGGTCGGTTGTCAGAGCTCAGCAAACCTCTGTTTCAATCTCCTGAAGACGACGGTCACCACAGGAGGTAAGGGCACTTTGCTCCTCTGTCCTTTTTATTGGGCGCGACACCAATCCTCTGCACTTTTCTTTAACGCTAGGTCGATTAATAAATCTTCTCACCTGGGACCACTTCATACAAAGTCTGCAGCAGTACTTGGAGCACTTCAAGCTAGTTACACCCACAACCGCTAGTGCTGGAGGCCTCCGGGACGCCGCTAGTTTGGGTTTGCGCGGCACAGGTGTACCACTTCACCTGCAGCATCCGCATCTCTATCAGACGGCGCTTTGCGAGTTCCCGGGAACAAGGGGATTTGGGGCGGGGAGCGGCATCCCCGGAGGGCAGCTGACGCCACTGCTACCTCAGCAGCAGCAGCAACAACAACAACCTCCAGCCGAGATTCAACCAGAGGAAGTGGAGGCCCTTCGTGCTGTCGTAGCCCTTATTACGCGCGTCGCCCTCATTGTAAGTGGTGTTACGGTTTTGTACGCTTCGAGGTTTTGGCGTAAACACCGCCGCATTTTGGACTTTAAGTGGACTAACTTTGTTTTCACGTGTTGTCCGCCATCCTTTGCTAAGTAACTACGAAGTCACTGGCAGTGAATTATGTAGTGCCACTGGAAGGGAAGGCGTTCAGTGAACAAGGGCACACGATCCACAACCGGCATTGACAATCTCTCACGACAGGCACGGCGTGACGATTAACCAAAACACGTATCGCGAACAGTGTATAGGACGCTACAGTCTCTGGAGTTGGGTAGTCGATTCGCTGCTTGGTCACCTACAGTTCGTGACCTATCTCATGGAGGGTCACGAACTGTGAACTAAAATCGCTGTAGCGCACGAAACGCCTACCCCGCATCCACGAAAGCTATATTGCGTTAAATATACGACCAAGCTTCAAAATAAGACACATTTTGGTTTTTAAAGTATTATTTATTGACTAAGGAATAATTCGTATTGACCCAACTGTAAAAGACTCGACGCCTCCGTGGCATTCGAACCCACGACAGTATGGTAAAGTCTTTAGTACAGCCAACTCTCTAACCACCTGAGCTACGAGGCCCCGTCGGACGACGCGAGTTAAATCACATTTGGGTCACGTTATTCGAAATCTGCCAAGGCATCTGTGAATTACGTAAGCCTGGTGGTTATCTGGTGGATTCTGGTGAATTACTTTGGAAATCCTGCTTGGGCAGTCAACTTACTGTATCATATTTGGTGGATTCCAGACGTTGCAGTAGGTTGGGCGGGTAACTCGACCCCAATGTGATTCAACTCGCGTCGTCCGTCGAGGCCTCGTAGCTCAAGCGGTTAGAGCGTTGGCTGTACCAAAGCCTTCACCGCGGTGCCGAGTTTTTCACAGTTGGGTCAATATAAAATTATTCGAAATCTGCCAAATCATCTATGGACTAAAAAATAATTTATTTTACGAAAAACCGCTAAGTAAAACAAGCCAATCTATGACAGGTCAATTATTCAAGGCCTGATATAATTGTGAACAGAGAAGAAAAATGTCTTACAACGACAAAATGATAAGAAGTACTAGTACTTTGTCGATTGTCCTTTGTCTTTTAAACCGGCTGTAAGGCGAGAGGGCATGGAGACTACCAAGTTGTCTATTGTGGTTTGGTCTATGCTATTCTTAAGCAAAAGTCGAACTTTTTAACCATTGAAACATGTTTTCTTGCCTTGTCCCAACTTTTGATTATCTAAGTTCAGCGAATATTCTCATGTTACAATTGAAAAGTCAAATTGGCGAACACGTGTTTTCAGTAACTCTTCATCAGGCCAAAACGGTTACAAAGAAGTTTAAGTTATGCGAATTACATGACTTATAAATGATTCGAGGACAATTAACATCCATCGTTCCAACCCCAATCATCGTTCTCACGCCACTCGCATGATGAGGCGTGCTATGGCGTGCTCGGCGTGTCGTGGTCGTTGGGTTAAGGGGGCGCGGGAGAGGGGGGCCATAGGCTGTGAGTACGTCGGGTACCTTGTGCACACACCCTGGCATCAGGAGGTTGGGGCGACGTTGGGGTCGGCGTCGGCCACGGAAGACAGAGCGCCTGTGTCAGAGTCTTCTGACAGCATGGCACTGGATTGGCTAGCCGTATAGCCACTGCCTCGGCTGTAGCTAGCACCCGTTGGTGTAGGCCTCTGGAGAAGCTTGCTGGTGTCCGGTAGACAATCTGAAAGGCTTCTTTGGCATCCACTCGGAGATTCGTATATGAGCGACTAAGACCAGTGGGTACGGCCATACCCAGAATGTACGTCCTTCCAAAAATTCACAAACACGGACTACCCCCACGTCCGATCCTGGATATGAGGAATTCGTCCTATCGCACCATAGCAAAGTGGCTAGTCAAAAAGCTTAAACCGCTGCAAAGTCATTTGTATCCCCTAAGTCTGAAGGACTCCTTCGAGTTTGTCGAGGCGATTAAGGATATTAACGTTGACAGACGGAGAATGCTATCATTAGACGCAGCATCATTGTTTACTAATGTACCCGTAGCCGAAACAATAAACTACCTTTGTGATGTTATCCGCGACACGAACTACCCGTTAGGCATGCTGTTGGAGACGCTAAAAGAGCTACTGACACGGTGCACGCAAAACGTCCAGTTTCTCTGCAATGGTCAATTGTACAGGCAAATAGACGGCGTAGCGATGGGCTCACCGCTCGGCCTATTCCTCGCAAATGTCTTCATGGGCAAAGTCGAGATGACAAGTTTACAAGACACCATTAATGACCTCAGCTTCTACGGTCGGTACGTGGACGATATTTTCTGCCTGACGGACGTTACCACCGACACAGACGTTCTGATTCAAAAATTCAACAATTCACACCCCTCGCTGACGTTCTCTGCAGAGTTTGAGGCAAACAATGAAATCGCGTTCCTCGACGTTCTTCTGCACAGACAAGAGGATGGGTCTATCCAACTGTTATGACCCGCCTGGTACTTGAAATCCCGCGGAGCGTATACGCACTCGACCCTGGTCCCCAATATCAAGGCAGCAGACAAAGAACACACGGCTGGCCACGGAACGTGTATTAGCAAAACAATGCAAGTCCGTCTAGCTAAGGGTGACGCATATTTATCACACGCTAGCGTGGTTCGCCGGCACTCGGTCCAATGACCTTCGGGAAGGGGGAGTAACCAATGGGAAAGCGCCTGATTGAGATGACAGCGCGGTAGAGAGAGCGCAAACGCACGTGATCTCCATTGATTGGTTTGCTCTTGTCTTTGGGAGTGTAGGCACTCCCAACACCTCCCCTCCAAGTGGGTCAGTACCGCTTTTGGCGTGGATTGATCTGCATCGGCAGTGTTGATCGGCGCACGTGGTTGGTCCGGCGTCTTAGTTGAGGTTTGTTGTCTGGAGACCCGGGGGCAGTGACTGATACCGAAGGCGGTACATCCGAAGGAGGCGCAGCAGTGGGTTCAGGAACCGACCGATGTGCCGGAATGGCGAAGGTATCCAGTAGGATGTCAAGGGGGAGTGACGGCGCCGGATCGAGCCCAGTTGTGTTACTGCAATGTCGCCGTCGGATCTGGTTGTGGTGACGAACCCAGATTTCACCACCAACGTCGACGTCGAACAACATACTGCCTCTGTGCGCTACCACGGTTGCTTTAATCCAGTCTGGGAACTCCGCTCGATAATCACGGGCGAAGACAGGCGTTCCGATGGAGAGCTTGCTGCGAGAGACTGGAGAAGTCTGCGCGGGCTGCGCACCGGTAGGGACGAGGGCATGAAAAGTTGTACGCAGTTTCCGGCCCATCAACGCTTCGGCAGGAGAAACGCCCCCAGGGGACGCCGGGTTCGGTGTTGTCCTGTAGGAAAACAGGAATGCCTGGACTATCTCGTCCGTGGTCCCCTCCCCACGAGCTTTCAAGAGGGCTCTCTTAAACGTGTCGACAAAACGCTCCGCCTGACCGTTAGACTGAGGATGGTAGGGCGGGGAGCGAAGATGCTGGATGTTGTGCTGGCGGCAGAAATCCTCAAACGACGACGAAGTAAACTGAGAGCCATTACCTGAAACCAGGACTTCTGGTAAGACATGTTGGCTAAAGATGCGTCGTAGGAAGGCAATAGTGGAAGATGCGGTTGCTGGATTCAGCGGAGCAATCTCGGGCCATTTCGAGTAGGCGTCAACCAAGATTAGGTAGGAGACTCCGTTAAGTGGGCCAGCGAAGTCGATGTGCACGCGTGACCAAGGCCTCTCTGGTAGTTCCCAGGGTACTGGCGGTTGACGAGGCGGCATCTTGGCAGCTTGCTGACATCGAGAACAGCGTCGAACCAGGTCGTCGATGTCGCCGTCGATACCCGGCCAGTAGGCAAAACTGCGAGCAATAGACTTCATTCGGCTGGCACCAGGATGAGCCGCATGGAACTGGCGTAGTACAGTGGGTCGGAGGGAAGATGGGATCACCACACGGTCTGCAAACATGAGGCAGGAGTCAACCACAGATAGCGATGCTCGGCGGAGGAAGAGCTGGCGAAGATCGTCAGCGAGAGCAGTGGTTGGCCAGCAGGTCTGCACGTAGGTGATGGCCTGGCGGAGGACAGGATCCTGTTCAGTAGCACGTCGGATGTCCGCGGCAGTGACAGGGATACCTCGTATGGCGTCTGATAGCTGACGGCGCACATCGTCCTCAATCGAGATAGCTGCAATCACGGTATCTTCCTCCGGTTCCTGTTGATTGCTGATGAGGCGAGAAAGGGCGTCAGCCTGGCCAAAGTCTGTAGTA